GGCCATTCTTGATCATTATGTTTGACAAGAAGTGTAATGTGGGGTGGTCCAGACTTGGAGTCCTGCTGACCAGGTTGTTAGGAAACCCTCTGCCCTGGCATTATCTGTGTTTCCTACATGAACACAGGTTTACCCTTTGGTATCAGGTAGATGGGGTTTTAGAGGTTGTAATGAACAAATGACTTCCCAGGCTTCTCCACTTGAACAAGTTTCTTCTGGTTGACAGCTAAGCTGTCCATGTGAACGAATCCATGTGAATGGATTCATGTGAATGAAAGCAGAGTTAGCTTGATGTGATTTTGAAATCAAATTAGAAATTCTGTTTTGCAGGTGGTATTTATAGTCCTTCCTCAATGCAGAAGTGAACCATAGCCTCATTGTGATTGTTGAAAGGAGATGTGTTTTAGTTAATAGCATACTGAAACCCTATCATTATGGACCATCTAAATATCTGTGCTGAGAAGAAGAGCTACATAAATACCTAGAATAGTCTTTTTTGAGCCTTAAAATAGAAGATCCACATCGCTTGTCATCCAGAGCGCTCTGGAGTGACTAGAAGCAGCTGGAGAACAACACACGCGTGGTCTCTGCGGGCTCCTGCCCTAAGCTCAGGAGAGGGGCCTCAACTGTGCCTCCTGCTTTAGGAAGGTAATTATGTCACTGTCTTCAGAGCAGGCAAGTAGAGGTTTGGGGGTGTTTTTACCCCACACTACAAAGAGTGCTAAGGTTTAGAGAGGCTGAGCAATGTCCTAAGGCTAAACAGCAATTAAGTGAGTGGAAGACTCCGGATTCAAATTCAAGCAGCTTGACTCCAGAGTGAATGTCACTTGCCTGCTTTTAAAATCTTGTGCTACCTGTAAATAAATTAGGGCAATTCCATCAAGACCACCTTCCTTTTGGGAGAATACTTTAGAACTCTTACACATATTTAGCCCTCGTTGATCTTCAGGCGGTGGTTTGGCAGGTGATGTGGTCAATAGGCCTAAATTATATTTCAGACTAGAATCTAGAATGTTCTTTGTTTTAGTTGATAACTTGATTTGTCGTGTTAGGAATAAATGTATGCAAAATTTGCCCTTTGCTACCAAAAGAATTGGAGTTGTCATCTTTTGAAACTTAAAAATCTCTAGTTTTTTCTTATTTATTCCTTTCTTCTGACTGCAGTGCATCTTTTATTAAATGCCTCTGCTGCTGCTTTTTATAATGTTCTAATGTAAATGTTTACTTTTTAAAAAATTAATATATTGGCAGAGAAACGAGACTCCCCCCGCACCCCAACAACTCAGGGTATTCTGCTCGCCTTTTCCACATACAGGCTGTTGCTTTGGGTTGTGGATTTCAGTTCGTAACAAATTTGCTGACATATGTGACTGATCTAGTAATAGTGAGAAAAGGTTTAAGTTTAATTTCTAAATGTGTAGATTTATATAGGCTTATGATTCGGCTCCACTCCGTTTCTTATGTAGAAAGCTAGGGGAAATGTCTAATGCAACTAAGCTTTTAAGATAATAATGGAGACATAAAAATGAGCTTTTCTGGTAAGAGCATGGCTTTGTCTTCAGCAGTATATATTTAATTGCTCCTGTTCACATGTCCAGCAAAGACCCAAGTGGTTTTCCGGTGGCAGTGAAGTGGACTTCTCAGAGTCATGATGAGAGGCTGTGCCAAGTCCAATTTGATTCCAGAGCAATTATGTTATTTGAACCTTGCTGATTGCCCCAGTGCCCACTGTGCAGCTTAACCTTTAAATGTTACTGATAATTAACTACTTTATCATTCTACCCAGAAACTCTAATGTGTAACTGTTGTAAAATTTTAAAAAAATCAAAAGATGCTCACATAAACAGAAGCAATCAGCTGTATAAAAACAAAGGGACTTGATGGTATGTGTGTTCCAATAAATAAGCACAAAACTCCAGTGTCAGGCTTCCATATCCATCAGTTCCATACCTGGACATGGAACTAATCACAAATTTTTTCCAAGATGAGAAAAATATTTCTTGTGAGGGGCTGGGGGCAAGCAGCTAAGTTTTCAGGGTACTCCCTCAAAGGCTGAGAGGGAGCAGAAAGTGCTATTTACATGGCATTTACATTGTATTAGATATTATAAATAATCTAGAGAGGATTTCAAGGATGTGGGAGGATGTGTGTAGGTTATATGCAAATGATGCACCATTTTACATAAGGGATTTGAACATCCACAGATTTTTCTGTAAAGGAACTTGAACATCAGAGAGATGCTCTGCAGATGCTGAGGGGTGACTGACTGTAAAACCATGTAAGGTCAATTTTTATGACAGTGTATCATTGTTTAAGAATCAGTTTTTCCTCTTAGACTTCCACAGAATGCATTAGAATGAGAAAGCTTAAAGACTTTTAATCATATGCATGTGAACTCCTCTTTCCTTATAAAATATCAGCTTAGTGAAATGAAGGCATCTTGAATTAGATGAAAAGGAGCATGTGACAGAACAGAGCTGCCATGCTAACTTCTGTTGGGTACTGTGTTCACATCCGACTCTGCTGAACCATTTCCTGTGGAATTGCTCAGCCTGGTGCCCTCTGAAAGGCAGTGTATCTCATTGCTTTGTGTTTACATTCCAGAGTAGGGAGGCGAGGGTCTCAGTCATTTGTGTGTCACATTTTCAGGCCATTTTCTGCTACTCAGTGAGCCAGGCACCCTGCCTCTGAGGAACCCACAGCCTGCAGTGGGAAGTGGCCCTGTAAACACAAAGTCATAAATACATTGTGAGTGCTCTTGACTCATGACATGAACCAACTGTTAGGGCCACGAAGAGCAGTGAGGGATTAATCCTGCCTAACAGTGTCTGAGGGAGCTTTGAAAGGTGACATTAGAGCTAGTTCTTAAAGGATAAGGGGAATTTTGGAAGCTACTGAGGAAGATGCCTTCCAAGAAGCCAGGAGAAAGACTTAAGATGCACTGGTACTACAGGGAGGATTGAGGAACTTGAAGCTGGCAGTGCTGACTTAGAAAGCCAGATGAGGGCTCTGGATTGAGATACACAGTGAGGCCATACCTCACATATTGGTTCCCTGGGACTGTGGGAAATTGTCCTTCCTCAAGAGAGGTGAACTGTGGAGCCATAGAGTTACAGGCAATAGACCAAATAAGGGGAAAGCTAGACAGAGGTTCTAGACATAAATATGATCACTGATAGCTCTCGGGAGGGAGCTCTGGTGGCCAAGTGGCAAGGAGTTGTGCTGCCAACCCAAATACACATAGTTCAAGTCCACCAGCTGCTCCACTGAAGAAAGATGGGCCACCTCTTCCTGTGCAGTGTACAGCCTCCTAAAGCTGCCTGAGAGGGCAGCTGAATCTGTTCTTAGTTACTGGCACGCAGTGATAGCAGCAGCAGCTCACAGTCGTATTTGCAGTTGTGTGGTGAGAAGGAAAAGCAAAAGCATTAGACTATGTCTGCTACTCAGATTGGGGGAGAAAAAAAGAGAGATGAGCATTTGGTTTGAGAATGAAGCTTAAAGCTCAGTAAGTCAAGAAAAAGTCCATTATTAAAATTACCTGGCTCTTGTTCTGTTTTATTCCTCGACCTTAGTGAATGAAAGCTGCCATCTTTCTACCACCAAGATTAGAGTTGTGTGAGTGCGGCAGGATGGTTGGTTACAGGGTTTGGTACACAAGAGTTGAGCGAGTTTTCATGTAAAGCTTTGAGGGGGACTAAACCACTAGGGGATGGTTTAGAGATAACCATCCACATTCATTGATCCTTCTCTTCATTGGTCATTTCCCCCTCCTTACCCAGCCTCCACCTAACCCTACTTGTGGAGCAACTGGTGAGGTTGTCACTGCAGGTGAACACTAGGGGGCGAACTGACTAGCTACTGACTCCCTCAACTAAAGGGAGTCCATAAGGAGAAGTCTATTAATTTCCCTTTTAACAGGTTTTGACAGTTTAGCTGCGAAAGAGAGTATGTCATTATGGTTTAATGGAAATAAAATACAGAACCAGAGGTTTTGAATAGCACACTCCTTCCTATAGTTGAAATAAGCCCCACTGTGTCAACTCTGACTTCTGACAATGTTCCATCACATTCCCAATGCTGTAAGCCTTTGAGATTATGGATCTATCTCCTGACGAGCTGCTGGGTGATTCAAACTACTCATCTCCTGGTTAGAGTGCTGCTTGTAATGCGCTACACCAAAGACCCTTGTAAATGTTCTGGCTCTCTACCCACAAAGGATGACAAATGGTAAAACCCAAAAGGTAGATTTTAGGAATTGAATAAAATTGTGATTGAGGATGGTTATTACTGAACCGTTTCCTGAATTGACTTAGAGTTTCAGGCTAAGGTGTATTCCTACCATTTGTTTCAGGGTTTTTTTGTGGGGGAGGGGCGGGGTCTGCGAGTGATTGATTATATTCCTAGCGCTGGTTTTCTTAGACATCCTACCTGTCAGCACCTTGTCCCTGTCGCTGCAAGAACAGCCCTCCTGACACCTGGCTGAGTTGGTGCTGCATTTGGGAATGGTGCTCCTTGGCCCACATAGAATGCTTTTGCTACTCAGATACTTGAGACTCTTTCTGGTGACTCTACAGGCTGGAAATACTGACTTCCCATTAGCCAGCACACTTTTTAAAAAGTTTCTTTCTCTGGTATCTTCTTTGTTTCCAAAGGCATTTTAACAGTATGATATAACACATAGTTTAAACCAAAGGAACCCCTGGTTGGTGCAAATAGTACATAGTTTTTGTTACTTGAGGTTTATACTGTTTTCTGCTTCCCACTTCACTGTTCTATTCTCTCTGGCTCTCTACTTCCTCTTTCTTGGGTGTTTTTTTCCTTCCACCCTCTTTCTTATTTTCTTTTTTCACATCTTCTATTCTCTTGTACACCCTTCCTTCAAGCTTTCTGGATAATGTGCCGAAGAACAAAAAGTTAAGTGAAAGGCTCTCGTGGCTCAACTAGTCACCCTGACACGTGGAGGGTCACTCCTAACCCAAGCTGCCCCTTGTGTTTTCCAGAGCTCTTCTGTGTCCCCGTCAGCCAGTTTCCGAGGTGCTGAGAAGCACAGGAACTCAACAGACTATTCTTCTGATAGCAAAAAGCAGAAAACTGAAGAGAAAGAGATTGCAGCTCGTTATGTAAGTGCAACTTTTCTTTATACCAAGGAGCCATTTTCTCATTTGGCTATTCCCAATCTAAAGTAGAACACAGGCCTGCAGATTCCCTGAGAGGTGAAGAAATTGTATTTAAGTATATGTCTCCACATGGGCTAGCTGGAGCCTAATGTTTGTTGGTGGGCCCAGGCGCATGTGAACAGGTAAGAATAGTGTGTGTAGTGACAAATAGAGAAGTTTAATGTTCTGGTGGTGATTTCTGTGGAGTTATTTGCTGCACGTATATCTCAGGGTTCTTTCCTGTATGGATGCACACACATGTGGGAAATAGAACTTTCAGAGACATCCAGAACATCCATAGCTTGGTCTGGGGCTCATTCTACAGCATGAACTAGGCAGGTCACATTGACGAAGGCGCCAGTGGGGTAGGGGTGATGCCAGAGCTCCGCTTTCCTGGACGTTCATGTGGAACCTCTTGGTTGTAAAATCAGGGTTATTGTTAGGTGCCATCAAGTCTTCTGAGCCTGCTAGTGACCCTGTGAACAACAGGTCTGAACTTTGTCCTGTACTGCGCCGTCCTCGTTCTCTGATACGCTCAGCCTGTTAATGCAGCCACCATGTCAGTTCATCTTGTTAAAGGTCTTTGTCTCTTTCACTGGCCCTCCACCTTTTCCCAGCATGATGACTTTGTCCATGGACTGGCCCCTCCTAACAGCATGACCAAAGTCATGTGAAATGAAGCTCCACCATCTTTGCCTCCAAGGGGCACCTTGGTTTCACTTTCTGCACTCTTTGTTCTGTTGACAGTCTGTGGGCTATCTGGTACTCCTTCTTCAGCACCACGACTTGAAGGCGTCGATTCTTTGAAGTTCTGTCATCTTTATTCATTGCCCAGCTCTCAGATGCAGAGCCACTTTCTTAGTTTTTTAAAGCAGTAACAGACCAAGTCACATCACGTCCGTCTGTAATTTGGGGTTAGCCAAGGGGTGCCAGTTTTGAACCTTTATTTGCAAGCCGTAAGCTTCAGTTTATTAAATTGTGAAATAGACCCTTCATACCTTGACCATAATATCATAATAGTGATTAAATAGACTAGTATAATATACCATGTTAGCACAGTTTAGTATAGTTCTCTTCTTTTTTACATAAAGGATGTGTTTGGGCTCACCTAGGATAAATCTAGCTAAAGAGAAAATTTATTTTCTTCTGCTGGGATTGATGATAATGCTTCTTAATTACAGGACAGTGATGGTGAGAAAAGTGATGACAACTTGGTGGTTGACGTTTCCAATGAGGTATGCTTGTCTCTGGTTTGTCTGTCTCACCCTGTTTTGATAGTGTTGGATGTTTAAACAGTTAGAAAATGTTCTCTTAATTTCTGAAGGCTCCATTGTTGCTTATCTGGGGGAAGAATGAGGGACAGTGCAGGAGAGGAAGACCCTGGATGAGATGGGTTGATATAATAACTTGGGGCAGGGGGGTAAGTGTGTCAGAGGCAATGAGACTGTCTCAGGACAGGGCAGGCTTCAGAGCTCCGATACATAGGGTCACTGTGAGTCACAGGAGACTCAATGGCACATAACCACAATTTTTGGGGTTTCAGTTTATTTTCTATGAATGAAATTTCTGTGAAAATTGTTCTTTCCTCTGAGGGTTTTTTCCTACTGCCATAGACCTATACCCTCTGTGTTCAGCAGGCTTGCCGATAGGTGGAGGCTTCTTTTTTATTTCAATAGTGTTTTGCCGTATTCTCTCATTTATTGAATCTTGATCTCTAGACAAGAACAAAGGAACCCTGGTAGCATGCTGGGTTACATGTTTTGCTGCTAACCATGAGATGCAGTTCAAATCAAGGGAGGAAAAGAAGGCCTCCTGCTCCTAATAAGGCTCCAGACCGTCTCAGGAAGCTGGTGGGGAGGAGGGGTGCAGTTCTCTGCAGCTCTGTCAGGGCATTGTGGGTTAGGATGAACTCTGTAGCAATGAGTTTGGCTTGACGTTCCAGAACGTTCTGCTCTTCTGAGCTATTAAATGTGTCCAGCATGGGAGTGCCTGTGTGCCATTAACACCCCTGGTACCTTCCTAGGACCCATCTTCCCCTCGAGGGAGCCCAGCACATTCCCCACGAGAGAATGGCCTTGACAAGACTCGCCTGCTCAAGAAAGATGCCCCCATCAGTCCAGCTTCTATCGCATCGTCCAGCAGCACTCCTTCCTCCAAATCCAAAGAACTTAGCCTTGTAAGCAGATCTTTATCCAGGTTGGCCTGTTTCAAGGTGGCTGGGTTTTATTTTCATTTTTGTTTTCTTTTCCGTTTTTCTTGTTAGTATCTAAGTTTAATTGCACAGTGTTTTCGGGAGCAGAATGGATTTCCTAACTTACGATGGATATATATGCTGTGTGAGCCTTTTTGCATGGGTGAAAGAGAAGATCTGGAGGGATGTGTGTGAGATGTGTTTTACTGAAGATGGAAAAAGCATACTCAGGGTTTACAGGGAGTTTTGTTGTCTGTGGTTTATGGTAAATTTAGTGGTTGGCTTGCCTGTGATTTTGTTGCTAGTTTTGAGTGAATTACCAAGCTATGTATGACGGAATTAAATTTCCCTTCCTATCTAGAAAGCAATCTGTCATTTACAAAATCTACCTGACTCACACCACAAATCACAAATGCAAAATGAACTGCTTGCGAGTCAGGATTGTCTCCCCACACCCCTGCTCCTGCACTTGTGGTTCATTCCATCTCTGTGTGCTGTGTCGTCTTTTCTCCTTGTCACTTATTACAACAAACCATTTAAAAAATATACAAATTACATTTTTTACTAACTTTCTGAATTTATAGCTAAAAATAGAAAAAGAATTAAGATGCTCCTCTGGCTCAAAGTCTGTCTTTGGAGCTCGCTTTTCCAGTGACATGCCAACCAGCTACCTCTCGTGACAGGAGCACATCCCCCTGAAGCTCAACTCCAGCTTGTCCATGCACTGCAGAAGCCCCAGCCAGGGCTCACTCGCCCTCCGGCCGCCGTGATTGTCCACCCCCATTGTTCCCTAGACCCAAGTTCCTAGAAATGTACTCTTACCCCATGTTTTCATGATGTCCACAGCTCCAATTTAAAAAGAATTCATTAGTATGCTTCCTAAATTAAAATAATAAAGGCCTGAGTTAATTTCTCTTTTTTAGAAAAATTATTTCACGTCCTTACTAAGATCGTGTTCTAACTGTTGTTCCATTCCGTTCTGTCTCTTGGTAGAATGAAAAATCTACTACTCCAGTTTCCAAGTCCAGTACCCCTACTCCACGAACTGATGCACCAACCCCAGGCAGCAATTCCACTCCCGGCCTAAGGCCCGTACCCGGAAAACCACCAGGAGTTGACCCTTTGGGTTTGTAAGAATTTTCTATGTATTTATGTTACTGTTGTGATGAAGGTACTGGTGTGACCTTCACATTGAATGCCAGACTTTTCTTTAACCTAAACCAAGCTAGCACCAGCCCTGTCTGTTAAGTGCTCAGAAGAAACTCTGAAGATTGCACTGGAGCGTAGAGAAGCCAAAGCACAAGGAAGAATTCAAGATACTAAAGAGCTGAACAGAAGATTCCAA